CTAGAGTATGAAAGAGCAGCCCATGAAGTGGCATGAAGCAAGCTTTTGAAATGAAGGGACAGCAAATTGGGAATACAAGGGCCTGAGGCTTTCTGGCGGCTTCTCTCAAGGAGTTACAAAGCTGAGGCAGTGATTTAAGGAAGAGTGATTTAAGGATTCTCCAGTCAAGAAGATGCAATTCAGCAGGACAGTGGCAGAAGTCTTGGGATGTGGCTTTAGATTTTAGGTAAGGAGAAGGTGATGAAGGGTAACAATAGAGGGGTAGGTAAAAGTTTCAGATTTATGTATCATAAATGAAGGAAACAGGAGTCTTGGAGACTGACAGCTAATCTTCCTAAATATTTAAAAGTGATATTTGAGAAATACTCACAAATTTTCAGCAAAGACCAGGTGGCTGTTGGTGTCTAAGCAGGGGGAATAACCTTTGCCCTGGATATTTGTTCATTATGCTTCCTCTATAAATTGCAATATGTGATGAACCTCTTATTGAGAAATAAGATATTCACTTAAGAATTCTGTTTGTCCTACTCTTGGAGAAAAGATGGGAAAACAGTTCTTTTTCATTATGCAGCTAAATTTTGCTTTTCTACACAAGTGTAGAATGTGCAATAAGAATTCATAACATATGCTGCCCAGTTTGGTTTTCCAATAGAGTAGGAAGCAAAAAATTTCTAGCACTGTCAGCAATTTGGGCCTCTGTGCTGAGACTGGCATTTGATGTTCACAGGAGCTCAGGCTTGTAGGGATCTTCTGATCATAACAGAGGCAAAACTTGCTTTTTTGGGTTCTGGAAGCTAGGTAGCCTCGGGTGTTCTTCGGGACTTAATCTGAACTCTTGCTTAGGGCTATGAATTAATGTACTTATTTAATGGAACTATTAATACATGACACAATCAGGACTGGAAAAGTTTCAAGTACAAATTGACCAGATAAACTATTAATTTTCTTGACAATATCCTTGGCATTCTCTGAAAGCACAGTGCATTTCAGTAGCAGTTTCTTATTTTTTGTTTTGCTTTAGGTCACTGTTGACCTCTTAGCGCTATTTCCAAAATTCTGAGGATAACTTTAAGACACTTCCTTTCTGTGTGTTAGTTTTAGTTTGAAGGCTTGCTATTTTCTCTTAAAACTGCATGTTTAAGCATTCATTTTTGGGAACACCTCGCATATTACATCTTTTTGAGCTCAAGTTCACATTTCCTGTCTCAAATACCATCTTAAAGATCTGAAAATTGAAGATTTTTCCATACTATAGTTCTCCTGATTTAAAATCTGCTCAATACCATATAAATTGAGATGTCTTCTTGGGGTAAGTGAAAACAAAGTTATATATGTGTTATAGAGTGTGTGTGTATATATATATTTAAACACACACACTACAACACATATTACATAATGCATTAAATAATCCAATTTCATAGCCAAGCAAACAGAAAACAAAAATACGTCTATTTTAGATTCTTTTTAATCTTACTTAAAATGCGGAAGAAATTAATCCAAGCAACTAAAAAGCAGCTTAATTTAATTTTTATAATATTTTGCATTTGAGGCACTTATACTTTCACTAATGTAAAACTTTCACTTTGCCTTTTTACTAAACTACATCAGAAAGTAAATTACTAAATGTAGGATAGGAAGAAGTGTAGAAATTGCTCCAAGAATTCACTAGTATTTTTAACCCTGGTATAAAACATGAGGGATCTAGTCTTATTAGGTTAAGACTCTTTCATCTCTAATTAATTACAAAAGGGCTTCAGGGTTTCCTTTTAAAATTTTTAAATATTTGCTTTTAAGAAAATCAAAGTTAATTCTCCTCTCCTTTTTGTGTGGCTGTACTCATGTGGTGAAGAATGTGTCTTAAAGGGCAACTGTGAATAAAAGAATATATTTCCTGTGATAAGAATTTCCCAAATACACTCAAGAAAATGTTTCTGCAATGTTCTTGTGATTGTTTTATTTAAATGCATGACACACCTTAAGCACTTAAACCAACTCATTGCTCTATTCAATCTAGATAGAATTCTCTGTCAGCATCTTTGCCAAGTATGTCATTGAATCCACAGTACAGAAAAATTCATCAGAGTTGTTATTGGTGAGAACCTGCAAATACAAATCCAATAAAGGGAGTTGCACTCAGTGTTTAGTAGCTGGAGGAGCTACAAACAAGTTTCACCCTGGACAAAATTAACTCTTTATATCTGAATTCCAGTTTACTCGTCTACAGGTTGTGTCTCGGGCAGTTAATTATAGTAATGTCTTGGGAATTGGGTATCAGTGGATTTTTTCATAGGCTTGTCATCACCTGGAACCTTGGAAAAACAATGTTAACTGCTCTGTACTTCAGCATACCCACCTACAGGTATTCATTGTGTTTATCTACTGCTTTGCATTCAAGCAAGTTGACCAAACAATATAAAAAAATAAATCAGTCTTTTAAAAAATTGAGGCCTTTGATAGATGATTATTTCTTTATGATTATAACAGTCCAATTTGCCCTCATAAGTCTTTTTCATTTCAATATATGATGAAGTGATTACAGAAATTGAATGAGGGTCAGAAAGCTCAGTAATTGTTAATGATATTCAGGATGGCTGAACACTAGATGTTTTCCTACTTGGATAGTTAATATACATAGGAATCATTCAATGCCATGCAATAAATGAAATGTTGATTTTAATATAGCAATTGCTTCTTAGCTTAGGATCTGCTATTTTGAAATTTCCTGTCCGAGAGTGACAATGTCTTTTAATATTTGTTATTGTTCATGCTTTTAAAACTGTGTTCGAATGCAAATTAATTATTTACAAATCAATGAATTTCAATTAACTGTATGCAAATCACAGTTCTTGAGTTGATTTAAGAATTAAATGTTGCCTTAATAGAGGTATATATTTTATATTGTATGGAGCTGGTTTGAGACAGCTGGAAACCAGTTTGTAAAGGAAAATAGCAGGACAGGCTAAACTACAGTGGTGAATGATATGCTGATACAAGTATCGATAGATAAGACTGAGAATAACGTCATTTCTGTCCCAAAACTGAAGCCTCTTAGCAATGTTCTGGTGACGAATTGGTGAATACTAGTTTTCTTTCAGCTCTGATTGCTCTGATATGAGCAACTGTTCTCCAGATACTACAGGTGAGATCAGGAAGCTCATTTGAATTAACGTGGGAGTAGGATTTGAGCAAAGATACCAAATGATGTGTTCTATTTTCAGCTCTGTTCTAATACAGCAGGCAAGTGGTTATCTATAAGCACTTAAATACTCATTGTAGGGTCAGTGTGACTCTATGCCTTGCACTTACATTTTTATGTAAGAGGAGCATGCTAGCAGCCACGATTTCAGCTGCCTGGTTCTGGAGCTTTCCTGGGAGCACAGACATACCCGTGCAACTACTGAGCCCTGGGGGACTCCCAGAGGTTATTCAGTCTCACAGCTTCACTGTGGGTCCAGTTCACATCCTTTGACGTGAATGATTTTAGTGGTTTTTGCCAGAAGAAATTTTATGGCTATGCAAAGCATGCATCAGAAACTGTTCCTAGGACTTCTGTGGAACTCAGGTTAGCTTCTCACAATTTGTGCTTTAATTGCTGAATTGGAGCCAGAATCTGCACTCGGGTTGAACCTCTTCTAATTTCTGCCTAATCACTTATGAACTGCAGAGAAGGAAAGGTTGCATGCATGTGTATATTGTTAAGTCCTATGAGATACTGCAGAAAAAAGTTCCATCAGCCTTTTCTGGATAGAAGTGTGCCTGCATTACAGAGTTCCAGATCCCCAAATAATGAATTATGGACTTGAAATCTTGAAATGGGCTTTTATTTAAAAAAAAAATCAGAAACATTTTAATGGATATACTTCCACTGTACTTTCAGGTACCTGTGTATGTTTAGATACAGATATATGGACAAACATCCTGAAACCTTTCCAAACTGTAACATATTGTTTAAAAACTCATGACCTCTATGTTTGCAAAAGCTATTTTAGCCTGTCTGTGGAGTGTATTGTGATAGTAACTGCACTTAGTGCAATAAAGGGACAGAAAACCTGTTTGTATTTTCCCTTATTGAAGAACATTTAAAATATTTTCTTTTAAGTCAGTGACTGTATCAATGCATTAAAAGGAAAGGGACTGGATGTACAGGCTGTCTCATGTTGCTTATTAACAAAAAAAGTTAGTGAACAAATCATGGTGAAATGGTGTTCTTGTAATGCAGGCTGGTTTTGTTTTAATAAATGGTATGTAAATAATTACTTCAGTAGTTTAATGTTTTCCAGGCAAAAGCTTCAGAATTGGGTTGCCAAATCAGCAGACATCCTTTTTTGATCAAAAAGTAGTGTTGAACAGTAGTCATGGCACCAAAAGTATGTGTTTGAGTCACGGGAGCAGTGAGTACTTTCACCGGCTGCTGGAACAGACTCTTAGCCCCAGCTGCAGTTTGAGAGATGTGGACATCCACCCCTCTTTTTTAAGAAGGCTAAGAGACAATGAAACAAAACTAAACTAGCATTTGTGTTGAAACACCTATTTAAATATACTGGAATGTTTCAGCTCCAACACCTCAGAATTGTAAACATAATTTACTTGTTTCCTTGTGAGCCCCTCCCAGGTCACTTTCACAGAGCTCAGTACTTGCTTTCAGAGAAACTTAGACAAGGAAAAGAGGAGGAAGATGCTGAGGGAAGAAATGTGTAAAATCCACTCAAGTGGACCTTAGTTCTCTGCCCAGGACTCCACAGTGACACCACTGCCCTTGGATCCTGAGAGCAGCAAATTCACTTGGAGGGGTGGAGCAGCAGAGCTTTGTCTACAAGTAGTATTCAGAGGTGAAAAATCTGCTGTAGTCCTTGGAAAGTATAATTAAACAGGGAAATGCAATCTTTTCATATATGTATGTAGGGAGCGCTGTTTAATCATATATATATCATATTAGTTCATATATGTATCAATCCCCGCTAACAGCTGGGACGGTCTGATCAATACGCAGAACTCTTGGGTATGAAATATGCAAAATGCTTGCTTAGATACATTTAATGCTTCTAAATATACTTTTTGAGAACTTTAGGCTGATGGGTGTTGCATATGCTCTCTATCTTATATTCCTGTCTCCTTAGGCAGTTGAGATACAAGTTTGTGACAGGTCATGAAGGGCAGAAAAATTCTTCACAAATGTCTCCTTTTCTTCCTACGTCTAACTGAAATGAAAAAAAAAAAGAAAAAGTGTTATTCTAAGTAGAATAAAATTGGTTTACATGGTGATTGCGATGCACAATCTTAGAAAGTCATCTAATAAGCGTCAACCCTTAACCAATGTGTTTATGACCACTAGGAATTGTGATGTCAGGGGTTAGGTTACTGTGAATGAGCGGGGAGTTAGGTTTTATTGTTGAAAAACCACACGACTGTTGTATACCGGTTATCCCTAACGTCTATTTCCTAAGTAAGGACGATCCCTAATGTCTATTTCCTAAGTAAGCGCCCTGAGTACCTATACAGCGCCTTGTCAATTTTGGGGCTTCAGTCTGGCGCACCGGAGGCGCTTCCGCGGCCGCGTTCACACGGTGCTTTGCAGCCCCCGGGCGCGGGTCGCTCTGGGCGCTGCCGCATCGCCGCTCGGCGCGGGGCGCGGGGCCGCGGCGCTCCGCGGGCGCGGTGCCGGGGTGGCCGGGGCGGGCCGGGCCGCTGTTGGCTGTTGCCATGGCTCCGGCAAGCCGGGGGAGCCCAATGGGCGCTCTGCGGCGGTGCCGAGGGGACCAGCCATTTTGCTTATGGAAAACAATGTGACATATTATGCTGTGCTATACCGGGGAATAAACAAAAATCCCGTCGGGGGACGCAGAAGAAACGGGCGTGCGAGTGAGTAATCCCGGCGGCAGAGCGGCTCGCGAGCTGCCATTTTGACAGGCTGGCGGCTGCCGCTGCCGCCGCTGTCGGGGGAGGTGGAATGCGGGGCGATAGTGCTGCATATCTGCTGTCAGGAGCGGAGCGGGGGTCTGTCGTGTGAAGGCAGGGCTCCTCCGCAGTGCTGTCTCGGCAGCTCGCTAGCCGCTCGCAGCGGAGCCGGCTCCAGGACAAGGGAGTCGCCGGTGCCGCTCGCAGCGCGGCTGGCGGCGGGCGCGGCGCTGCCTGGAGCAGGTGTGCGGCTCGGCTCGGCCCGGCCCGGCCCGGCCCGCCGCGGCTCCCGGGCTGCCCCGCCGGGCGAGCGGCTGCCGCTGGACTCGGCCACAAAAGGGAGCCGCCGTGCGCCTCGGCTGCTGCGGGAGAGGTACCTGGGCACGGGCTGGTGCGGGTCAGGGGCACAGCTGGGCACAGCTTCGTGCGGGAAACAAGCTTCTCCCGGTGTCTGTGCCTTGGGGTTGGCTTTGCTCGGTGGCTGGTTTAGAGTGCTTGCTGAATTCATTGATCTGACTGCGTTGTCCTTAAACGTTTCGGTGTGAGTGGTGTTCCATATGGTTGCTGATTCAGAAGGATGCTTCTAAGAGATGATTAAGTTTTTAGTAAATAATTCTACTAAAAGGCAAGGATTTTTTTTTTTTAGATTATCATTATGTTTTTTATTATCAGCATAGCGTTGGTGAAATAAAATATTACAGAACTCCTGAGCATGTTTGCCTTACATCACAGAGTTCATCACTAGTGGATTCCATGCATTGTGTTCAGCCTCAGTGTTAGATTTAAATTGTCCAACTGCTGCTGTGCAGTATGTAGGTCATAATAAAAAGCAGCTTTTTCACTAGCTTTCAATGGACTGCATGCCCCAGTGCTGTGGTTGATTAGTTTGTGGTACTTGTGCTGTTAAGAGTAGTGGTATTAAAGCCAGCTCACACCTCCTTTTTAAAGATATCGCACGTTCCGTGCTAGACAGAGCACAACACACCCATTGTGTCCCTCCGTTTGGCGTTAAATAAAAGGAAGGAAACGAGCACTCCACATGGAGCACCAGCACATTAATAGCGCAAGACGGTTAAACTTTTATTAAACAATCCCAGGGATTCTGAGATAATCTACTGAAGGTAGATACAATAAAAACACTTAGATGTATATAAGGAACTAGTAGGAATGGGAGAGGTCTTCTGATAGGGACTATGTGTTAATGCTGTAGATTTTCAGTGCAAAATGAATTGTTCCGAATAGTTATTAATCACAACATGTTTGCTGTAGTTAAACCTAGGTCAATAACACCTCAATCCCTCAGGACAGATAACGTTTCTATTTAAAGTACCATTTTCCATGCTACCAACTATATTCTTATGCATTAATGCAATTTCTGAATTCTCTTATAATGAAATGCATTAAATTATTCTGAAAACTGATCTAAATATTCTGATTCACTTTGCATCTATAGAAAATAAGATTATATTTTGGTTTTAAGATTTCTTTAATAATTATGTGGATTTAAATCCCACTGAGATGAGCCATTTGTTTGGACAGTTGGGTGGGCATGAGATCAAGAATTCGAGGTCTGGTATCTTTATAGTTAAATTAGTAACCAGCACTCTGTAACTAGGAGCCAAATTCCAGTGTTGTTTCTGTATATATCCTGCAAAGTCATTTGAACAAGCATGATCAGCAGCTATCCCTCAAGTGAGATATTGCATTTTGAAACAGCAGTATATAATTGAATTGCTACTATGTGTTCTCCCCATTAGAAAAGCTTATTGAACCATTTCAGGATTCTGTTTTTTGGTGAATGCACACACACCAACTTCTTTATGCCTCTGTGTAGGGGTCACACAATAAATGGTTTAGAGAACTGCCTTCATCTGTGATCTAGAAAGTGGAATGTGCCTTTACAGTGTGGTACTGCATGAATATTTATGATTGAATCTGTAATTATGAGGAAAATTATAAACAAGCAGAGCTAGTATTTAAGATGTTGGTAAGTCTTTAACAAAGAGGGAGATTTTATTACAACAGTAAGAAACATGGATGTAGCGGTATACAAAGTAAAGGATTTTGCAGTTCAAGGTGAATTGATTCTCACTGTGGATTCTTCTCATTATGAAGGATTTATGGTTTGAGGAAAACAAGTGAAGACTAGCAATGACTAATCACTAAACAGTGTGCACCCATTAGGTGGTAAAAGATGCATCTCATTAGTTGGTATTATTTAAACCAATATTCTGTGCTCTTTCCATTCTGCTTTTCCCCTTTTTTTTTTTTCTCCTATCAATTCCCAGCTTCCCTCTGCTTCCTTACTGTGTCTTTGGCAACATCTGATCCCATCAGAGCTATTTGTAAATCAAATCGGTGACTGTCAGTAGTGGTCATGGAGGTACTGCAATCGAATCTGATGTGGAGGAAGAATTTAAATGAGTTAGGGGTAAGAAACAGCAACTAAGTAATGAGCGTATCCAGTGCAAACAAATTCCACATCATGTAAGTTTTAAAGGCCTAGAATTGGGTCACTAAATGTAGAAATCAAATGGGCATGCATGGAGAGGGACATTTTTCCTCTCATGATGATTTGACGTGTAGTTATAAACAGAAGGTTTACAAGAAGACTTTGACAATAATATGACATAGGACAAATTGGAAAGCTTGGTGGTAGAAATGGTAGCATAGAGTTCTAGTTGAAGTCTAGAAGGTTTTCAGGTTTCAGTGGAGCCATGGTCTTCATCAAGAGGTGATTATGCATTATTGGAAAGCCTCTAGGTTATCCAAAGTCAGGCTCTCTCTTGGTCAGCAGAGATGTAAATAACATCAGCTGTCATGCTTTGACATTACAGTTGCTTCAAACATTTTTTAGACACATGACCTTAGAAGGTGACTCTGGGTCCATGTGTAGCTCTTAAACAGAATACCAACAAAAAAACCCAAGCAGATTAATCCTAAAATGCAGTGTCATAGTAGCAGGTGCACATAGTAATAGAAATAAGAGACCAGGATGACCGAAGGAGGTAAAATGAAGTGGTCTAACAGCTTATTTGGCATGCTGTTTGTTTAAAATAATCAGGTTTGAGCAAACAATGATAAGCATCAACCAATCATGGGTGTGTAGAGCACAGTAACCTTATAAGAGCTAGTGTGGAAATGTGTTGTCTATCCTCAGCCTGTGGACTCTTCTCAGTGTACTTACATACATGACAAATGTGTGAGCAGCAATACGGATGGGATGTGCCCAGGGAAGAAGCTCAGGTATCGAGTTAGGGTATGCTGTATGATGTTACACTGTGAAATGGCTGAATGTCACTTCTGCACCAGAAGGATCAGGTATTGAATGTAACACATCAATTATGTGGTTGTGTCGGGAGTGCACAGCCTCCATCAGATGTGACCTTGGAACTGTACTTCTGCTCCGGTGAGGCTGTCTGCACAAAAATAGAAATAAAAATTGTCCATTTCTAGCTGTTTGTAAACTGGAATTGTATAAATGTATACTTTGTTGTTGTGTCCTACTGTTCTGATACCAGTCCTTTCTCATGTCATTATTTCCTATTGGATTAAGCATGTTACTGTCCTATGTAGCATGTAGTTTCTTATAGGAGAGAAGACTGTGCCATAGATGCTTTGTGTTCATTTTATTCAAATAGTCTTGTGTCTTTTCATGAAAGTGTTTTGACAAAAGCTGACCTTTCTGAAATTATGAAGCTTCTTAACATTTAAAAGCTAAAACAAAAACTAGAAGGACTTTCAAAGGCACTGATGTAATGGAAAAGTTTATGTATGGAAGGGAAAAAGGAGAGAAGTAAGTACTTAAAAGGCAGCATGTATCTTTGAGTAAAGGCGTGCTAGTTGATGATATTTTAGATATATTCCTGCTTTCAGTGGTTTTGAAGCATGTAATGTATTTTTATGTTCAGATGTATTGTTCCATAACAGTGATACATCATAGCTAATGCTGCTGTGAAGTAGGAAATTCCAAAGGCAGACCCTTTTCTTCTGTTATTTCTAACTTCTTTCCCTAAATAGTTTGATTTTTTTTTTAGTCTTTCTGTACTGAATACAGATAGTGTTCTGACTCATCCACCCTTAAAAACCTCACCAACCACCATCAGGGGGTTGAATATCACAGATGTGGTTCTGTGTTCTTAAGTAACCTGAGTAACATAGTGCACTTTTAAAGAGGCAGTGCTGAAGGTCCTCAGTCTCAAAGAATAGTGGGAAAAAACACCCTAAAAGGAAAAGCAAACATTCTTTCTCTCAATCATTACTATGATCAAACTATACACCAAACTTTTTCATTAGCCTTTTCATAAAACAGCTGTTAAATAATGCTAAGAGATAGAATAATCAAGACTTTATTTCTTTTGAGGGTACTTGTCTAGCATTTTATGTGCAAGTATTAAAGCAGTGTACAACTGAATTGTTTGACAAATACCTAAAACTATCCTTAGTTTATCAGCAGTGGCTTAAATTTATCTGCAAGCATAGCAGCTTTATTTTTTTGCTTCTTCAGGACACAAAAAAATATGCAGGAATTCATGATGAAACCAAATGGAAATGGAATCAGTAACTGCAGTTCTCACAGCTGAAAATCAGATTCATTGAAGTTTATGAAAACAGTAAAATGCCTTGATTTCTAAGGATTTCATTTGGTTGTGGGATCATGAGTTATGCTAAGCAGAAATCAGTAG